TGCTTTGCTAAGCTTGTTCTAAGTAGGTGCTTTAGACCACTGAGCCATCTCACCAGCCCCTCTAATATTTATTTTGCAGCTGCCTCTTGTCAAGTGCTTGATAGCTGAAGCCAAGCCTCTGCTCAGGGCAACAAAAGTGACGGATTGATATTCTGGCTTTTCCACCCAAAGCTTCATGTGGTCATGGGTAGGGCTTTTCAGGGGTGGCTGGATCTAGAGTGTGTGATGCTGGGACCAATTCATGGTGTGATGATAGGATCAAGGGCACCAAGAATAAGGGTGTGAGTGCTACTTCCCTCCCCCAAGCAGCCAACACAGAAGGGATAGAAAGAGCTGTGGTCTCCCTGGATTGCTTTGCTACCTTGTGTGCATGAATTTTTTCTCCTCTTCAATGCCTGTCTGCCAAGCCACCCTGCCTTGGAGCCAGCTAATTATGGACTGAAACCTCTACAAATTGTTCCAAATAAACATTTTTTCCTTTAACTTTCAGTGTCAGATGTTTTGTCTTAGCAATGAGAAAAGCAACTAAGATAGATGACTCAAGGTAATACTTGTACTGCAACAAATGCTTCCTCAGTACCCACTGTGTGTGTCGTATTACACACTGGGCGTACAAAGGGGAGGAATGCGCTCCCTGACTCCTCTAGGCTTGTAGTCTAAGCAACATAAAGTGGTAGAAATATAACACAACCACATGTGTGTAGTGAAATTTTTTTTTCTAGCAGTCACAAAGAAAAGAAACAGGTGAAAGTTCATTTTCAAATGAGAAGGGGACTAAGAAATGGAGGGAGGATGCAGGGAGGCTAGGGGAAGGGCATGAAAAAAAGAAAGAAAATTAAAGGAAAAAAATGCAACTAGAGATTTGGTAAATGGGGAGGGGACCAAAAGCTGGAAGGAGCAGGAAGGGATGGGAGTGCTGGAGGACAAAGATAAAGGATCAGGATGAGTAACAGCTCCCCATGATCAATGTAATCACTACATACTGTACACACGTGCTAATACAGCAAGAAAAACCACCTTTAACTTATCTACCATATTACCATTTCAACATGTCATCAAGATAACACTAGGCTGGCGAGGTAGCAGACTAAGCGCTTGCTTAGGCAAGTGCAAGCACAGGGACTGGGGCTGATCCCTGTTACCACGTGGTCCCACCCCCAGGTGCTCACACCGGGCGTAGCGGTGCATGCCTGTAATCTCAGCACTGGGGAGGCTGAGACAGGAGGATCACTATGAGTCTGAGTTGAGTAGTGAGACCCTGTACCAAATACATGAAAAAAGATCACACTATCATTGAGATAGTTCACAATTTTTAATACTATACTTCATACTTAGTATACATTTATAAAACATGTATATCCACATTAGATTTAGCTCAAATGCACAGCACTGCCCGTGGCTGGTGCCCACCATATCAGACAGGGCAGATCCAGAGGGAGCCGGCTGGTGAATGGGTCAAGTTGTAGCACCGTGCTAAGAGCTCCTTCTGGGGCATGGCCGGCATGCTGCGGGGGACCAAGCTCATGCACGGGGTTGCATGTGTGACACAGGCAGACAGGAAGGCTTCTAAGAGGAAGAGACATATGCACAGCGGTAGCTGGAGGCGTGATGGGAAGACTGCCAGGAGGTAGGACCAGCAGCCTGAAGCCGGGTTCAGGGGCTTCGAACAGGACCGCACAGGCAGAACTCATCCCTGTGTAGACAGAGCCTACAAAGAAACCCAGGGGGTTTTTTTTTTTTTTTTTTTTTTTTTTTTTTTTTTAAGGAAATCTTTTAATAGAAAGAACAAGACTGAGACAGAAGAGGAAGTTGAGAAGAGGGACCGGTAGAGAAGGAAGATTATTTTTTCTTTCTTATTTTTAAATCGATGTATATTAGTAACACAAAAAAATGTGATTTGTTTTGGGATATTGGGCCAGGCATATACTCTTTTGATTATTTTTATCTTTGATGCCCTGAGAGGGAAGGTTTAGCTCTGCACCAAGGTAGAGGGACATTTTGCCAGGGCGGTGCCCAGTTGGTGGTGTCAGGCCAGATTTGGCCCCTGAAGCGCCGAGAGCCAGGCCTTTCACAGAGGCCACAGGCCACAGCACCATCCTTGGTGGCCCTCTGTGGTTCTGCAGTACTACACCCTCACTAGCCAGGGTGTTGTTCACAATTTACATGAAAATAAGTGCACAGGAGCTTGTTGAGTATGTGACATTGGAAAGAATCTTCCCAGGGCTTACCCAGAACTACAAATTCCGGAATGTGCTGGGCCTTGCAGGGTGCCACGCGAGGCCCCATGAGCACAGCGTACCTTCTGGAGACGTGTCTCCAAGCCCTAGCAAGGGGCTGGCAGGGCCATGGAAAGGACCCCTCTGTGTTCCGCTTGTGTCCGGGCAGCGGGTGTCTGAGCAGGACACAGTGCACAGGGCAAGCTGGGACAAGCCACCTCCTCTTGGGCTCTCTCTGTTGGGCTGTGAAGCTCAGGGCTCACATGTGCCGCCGGCAAGCCATGTGGTCCCCACATGAAGGATGACAGCCACACACTCGAGCACTTGGTTCTTAAGAAACCCGATATTGGCAAAATGGACTATGCTTAGAATAATTCCTGGGAACTGGATGGACTGGTCTGGTGAGAAGCTGGGGCCCTCAGTAAGGGCTGCCTCTGCCCTCCCCACCTGTTCCCCTCCCTCCCAGGTCACAGTGCTAGGACAGCAGAGCAGCCAGGAGTCAGGATGAGTCACAGGCTGAGAGGTTGGCACCAGCTGAGGCTGCCTGGGACAGCGCTCGCTCCTGTATCCTTGCCTTGGCCTGGCTCACTGGGGCTTTAATAATGCAATAATACCCAGGCTCTGCAGCACACAAAGGCTTTTGGAAAGCAGCAGATCAAAGCCACTTTGTTCCGCTCTTGCCCGGAACAGTACACATCCATAGGTGTCCCACAGACACGGGCTCCTTGGCGCCGGCTCTGGCCACCCCCCCTCTCCCACGGAGAAGCCATAGATGGCTTAGAATGAAAACAGCATCGAAACAGGCTGTCTTCATAGAGCAGGCCAGCGTGAGAAGGGCAGGTTGGAAGGCTGGGTGTGCTTACTGCTGAGCTCTCTCCCCCAGCCTGTCGGCCCCTGCAGGATACTGCAGCCACTTCATCATGAAGTCACTGTGGGCCCAGTGTGACCTTACTGCAGTGGCGCGGGTGGCTGTGGAGCCACAGCCCTCCCTCCTCCCTGCTCTGCACTGCGCAGGCCACGACAAACCTGCTGGAGGGACAGCCAGAGCTGCAGGAGGCACCACCTCTCCCCACACCAGTGGGACCCTGCCCACACCCAGCCCCTCACCCCTCATCTCTCTTCCTGTTCCCCAAATGGAAATCTTCACTGCCTTCTCCTGTGTCCACACAAGAGCTGGTGGGGAGAATGGGATGAGCCAGGAGGGACCTAACGCTTGCTTCAGGTGTGCTGAGCAGGACAACAAACCAGAGAGCAAAGGGAACCCAGCTGGTGCCAGAGAGGGAGACGCTAATCCATCGCTTACTACTCTGGGTGCAGCAACAACAAAGTGCTATATTTATAACCTCAATTGGCATCTTTTTGGTTTATTTTTAAATTTTATTTATTTATTTTTGGTGGAACTGGGGATTGAACTCAGGCCCTTGCGCTTGCCAGGGAAGCGCTTATTCTACTGAGCTATTGCCCTAGCCCCTCAAATTGGCATCTTTTTAAAAAATGTATTTGTTATAGGGTCTCACTGTGCAGCTTGGACTCATAGTGATCCTCCCGCTTTCAGCCTCCCCAGTGCTGGGATTATAGGGGTGTGCCATTCCTCCTGGACTCTGTGGCTGGCTCACCCCACCCTAGGGGCAGGGGTGGCACAGCATGTGGTGCTGGGGATCCAACCGTGGCCCCTGCTCTTGCCTAAGCTTGCTTAAGCAGGTGTTTTAGTCCACTGAGCTATCTCGCTGGCCCTCAACTGACATCTTGAAGTAGATGGGTCCTATAAATGGCAGCAGAAAGTGTCTATGCTGAGTTATGGGTTGAAAAAGAAAATCTTGGTGTGAATAGTGGTGGCACATGCCTATGAATCCCAGCACTTGGGAGACTGCAACAGGAGGGCTGTTGGGCTCTCAAGGCTAGCATGGGCTACATAGGAAGTCTCTCTCAAAATAAAAAAGGAAGGAAGGAACGAAGGAAAAGAAAGAGAAAGAAGGAAGGAAGGAAGGAAGGGAAAGAAAGAAAGAAGGAAGGAAGGGAAAGAAAGAAGGAAGGAAGGAAGGAAAGAAGGAAGGAAGATAGGTAGATAGATGTAGGGACACAGGCAGGCAGACAGGCAGACAGGCAGACAGACAGACAGAAAAATCTTGGTGGCTGTCCAAGAAAGGAGGACTTTTCAGAGCATATATGTCTGTGAGTTTCTTAAATTGGGAGATAAAATTATATGTATTTATCATGTACAACATAGTGTTTAAAAGTACTTGTAACTGTGGAATGGTGGGACCTAGCCAACCCAGGAGCTACCTCCTCTAGTTATTCCTGGCATGTGTCCCACCCGCTGTCTGATGCGTCTTGCGAACTCGCTCCTCCCCTCTCTTGGCAATGATGTATTCTTTGGTCAACATCTCTCCATCTTCTCCACCCTCCACCACCCTACCCTCTGGTGACCACTGTTTTACTCTCTATTTTGATGAAATCAGCTTTTTTAGGTTCCACATATGAGTGAGACTGTGTGGTACTTGTGTGTGTGTGCCTGGTTTATCTCACTGAACACAGGAGGCAGGAGGAGAGTTGTAAGTTTGAGACCAGCCTGGGCTACAAAGTGAGCTCAAGGCCAGCCTGAGCTGCTCAGCAAGTCTCTGTCTCAAAAAGACAAACATTTTTTTTTTTTTTAATTTAAAAACAGAGTTTGTGACTCTCTTTCTGGACAGTTTCAGCTATCATTTGGGGCCAGAAGTATAGCTCAGCAGCGAAAGTGCCTGCCTAGCAAGCACAAGGGCCTAAGTTCGATCCCTGGTACTAACTGCTCCCCTACCGACAAGAAGAACCTCACTTCAGATTCATCAATACTATCACAAATGACTAAACTCTAGCTTTTTAGGGTTGAATAATATTTCATTATATGTATATATATGGCGTTTTTTTAATCCATCCATTGGCTAAATCAGGCATTTAGCTGATTCCAAATCTTGCGCTTGGAGTAGTACTTCATACCATAGGGATGTAAATGTCTCTTTGAAGCCCTGACTTTGTTTCTGTTGGACATACACTCAGTAGTGGGGTTGCTGTGTCATGCGGTAGGCCTACTTGTTATGGTTTGAGGGACTTCATGAGTCTTTGCACAATGCCTACACTAATTTACATTCCCACCAATGGCATGCAAGGGTGCTCCGCTTTCCACAAGGTATTTGTATTTCTAATCATTTGCTGTGGAGTGGGTG